GCTCTCTCATATTTATAAAAAATTTACATCCAAATCCATTATTTTTATTATCTAACAATAAATAATTTTAAATAACGCTACATAATAATATTATTTTGAATTATCTGTTGACCAAACAATCACCACCCATTTAATATATTATACACTTTAATCTCAATTAACATTTAATATTATTCTTACCATGAAATTTATATCTAGATCAGATTATTTTCAAATTAACAATAAAAAAATGCCCCTTGCAATCCCAGAGTAAAGTATAATTACAGTTAGCGTGACGTAATAAGTAAAATTAGTGAATAAAAATTATCCATTAGTTAGAAGTAAAGGTGAAAAACTATAGTTAAAAGTAATCAATGGAAAATTGTTAAATTTACTAAACTAAAAATGAGTGGTAAAAGTGGTGTCAATAGTTGGAAATATAAAATAAATTTATATCATTTTTAATATAAATTTAAAATTTGTAAGATGGAATGAAATTTAGGTAGTTACAAGTAATTAAAATATTTTTTTTTTAAATTTAGTGACGAATTTTACGGGAGAAATTAATTTTGATGATTTGATGGGAAAGTGGAAAGAAAGCGGTTTAGAGGGGTAGAAAAGAAAAAAAAAGGATTATAAATCACGTGTTGGAGAACATGATTCACAGATAATTATTATTTATTATTCATAAACAGTGATATACTATAAATGCTTTCTGGTTTGTTTCCACGTCTCGATTTGTACCTTTTTTTTTTTCTCAGAAAAAACTCAACACGAGACAAATAACGACATACACGTGTGATTTAAATATGACCTACTGAAATTTAATTATTAACTTAAAAAGAAATCAACTTTTCGTTGTCACAAGTGATACACGCCCTTGAATAAGATTTAAAGTTTAATTTTGTATCAACTTTGTAATATTATAATTTTTTTATTAAACATAAATATAAAATAAAATAAAAATCAATGTTTTTATAAAATTGATTAAATTAAAAATAATTATTAAATATAAAATTTGTATATTAAAATAATTTATCATTTTTCATATTTTCTAAAACATTCTTTTAGTATTAAAAAACATGGTACAATATATTTGTGGAATATTGAAATATAATAGAATGTTGCGAAGTAAATATTTGAAATAATGAGACTATTGTAATCGTAAATCCCTAAATCCTAAATATAGATGTTGTTTGAAAACCCTAAATTGTAATCCAATGAATGTTTTGGTAAGAGTAAAGGGTAGGTGAGAACAGGTAAGCCAAACATGACCCGTTATTTCCCATATCACACGAAGAACGCTACCTCATAATTCCGCCATAAACTGCAACTAACAAACATCCCCATTGTCTAAGAAAACAACATCCAATGCAACTACTCATTCTACCCACACCACTTTATCACACCCAATTCTAAGCCTCCTACAAACTCCTTTCTTCTAAATCTTTACGCTGCTTTTTCCCTCCTCGAAAACCAACTCTCAACTTCATCTTTTAAAGTAATATTATACAAATTCAGTCTTTTCAAACTATCAAATTCTGTAACTTATACTAATGCAAATTTGATTGGGAGAAATATCTATTGGATATTATTGTACGTAATCTTATAATAATTCAATAGATCACATTATTATTATGTTATCATTTAGTTATAAAACAAAACCCTTCATTTAAATATTATATATATATATATATATAAAATATATATTCTCTATAAATTAAAATCTTTCAATAGGAATAAATAAATTAACTACATCTTCGTAAGTTAAACACCTTTTACGTAGATATCAAAAGAGAATATATTTAAAATGGGTAATAAATTCATAAATTAATTTTTCTAACACCGTATAGATTGGGTATGTTAAATTATTCTTTCTTACACATACTGTAAGACTGTTTTTTAGACTTTTCCCATATTTTTTGTCCTGGTTTAGTTGTGGTGTTTTTGGAATTTTCTTTATTTTTTTTATGATGTCATGTATTTGGGTTTTAATTAACCTTTACACAAGGTTAAATTGAGACTTTTTAAGTTTAAAATTAAGTTTTTATGGTGCCTTAAAAAATTAACTTCAATTCTTTAATATTTAAAATTGAGTCAGTTGATATATTTTCTGATCCTTACTTTACTAATTTATCAAGAAAAAAAGAAGAAGAAGACACCACGACAGTAAATTATACATTTACGAAACTAAAATAAAAAGAATAAATTTGCTTTCAGCTATTGATGCCAATTAGATGAGTACGAGATTTAAAAGGAAATAGAAATTAATGCATATATATTAAAATTTAATTTAAGAAATAACATAATAATTTAGCTTATTTATAAGCTAAAATTAATTTTCTCTAAACTGGGGATTAATTATTTTGAAAATAGTACAATTAGAGAAACTAGCTTAACTACTATGCGACTAGGGAGTAACACTCTTAATTTATTTGGACCTAACTCACCTAACTAAACCAAAGTAACCAGTCCTTACTTTTAAGCTTTATGACCTCTTATTGCCTCGGGTATTTGTCCCATCCACTCTTTAAATGTTTTTCCCAACCTGCAGACGTTGTACTTATCAATGCAGTTACAAATTAAATTCAGATATTAAAGAGAATTCAAATCTATCAAATCAAAATTAAACTACATATCAGGTGCGTATAAAATCTATCATAATGCTACCACAACTCAGAATTGGTCATACACACATAATCGAAGAAAAAATAAAAAACAAGGGAGGTGAACATAGTATACAATGTGTGGCCCTCTTACAGCCCATTGGCCTGGACCGATCCATGTACCCCTATCGGCCTTCTTTTAAGATATCCGAACTATCATGGGTAAATGTTATTTACACCCCTGTTTTACTAGTTAACCTCTATCTACATGCTTTTTTTGAGGAGTAGTTTTACGGAATATTAAATTTCTTTAAAATATTCTGAAAATTAATTTTGAAAAAATTACATATTTTGAGCTCCCATAAATTTTTTTTTTTTAAAATTTTTTAACATTTTAATCATTTTCCATAATTTTTTACAGAAATTTAATATTCCAAAAGTATTAAAACACGTGCCGAATATTATTTTCTTGGAAGTTAACACATTTTCAAAAGTATTTTGCGAAAATAATAACATTTTAAGAGACTTTTCGGAATATTAAAAAGACTTTCAGGGAATACTTTGTGGAATGTTAAATCTGCTTAACATTTATGGACATTTTATCTTTTGAGTTTTTGTGTGTTGAAACCTAATTTTAAATTATAAATTTACTAGAAGGGGATTAAGGTAGGATGAGGAAGTGTGTGAGATATGCAGCGTTTCCAGAACCCTTAAAAGCATAAACAAATAGTTTTGAATTTTAAGGGTATTTAAAAGAAGAAGAAGAAGAAGAAAAAAATAAAGTAGTTAAGTCAACGAAAGAGGGGAGGTGTAACTAATAAAATAATTTGTATGTCCTCTCACTTCACACCTCTTTTGATACTCTTCCAGCCTACTTGAATGAAAAAATTGTCCAAAACTTAATCCTAAAGATTATTTTTAATGGGTTAATTTCTAGTAATTTTCATAAACTTGAGTTCTGAACTTATATTAATTAAATGACTTGATTCTTGCTGTGCTGATAATAGATTGTAATTTTGAATAAAATTTTTAGGATTATATCTTTTAGAATCGTCTTACCTCGTGATCAAGATCACATTTTAATAAAATTGTGATTAATTAAATTTTAAAAATAAATAATATCTTAAATATGATAATAAATCTTAAAAATATTGTTATAATAAATATAAGATCAAGATAATTTCATAAAATACGTATCAACCTAGAAAAAACAATAATATTTTTCATAAAACCCAAAAAATAGTCATCTTAGTTGATTTAAAAAACAAAATAAATATCTTTGTTGAATGATAATGAGTGGAAAATAAATCATTTTACATGTTTGTTTTTTATTTTTTTATCTGATATTCCGAATGTTAAGCTATTATTACATAATTTCTTAGAAAATTATTATCAAACTAATGTTTAATTAATTTAAATAATTAATTTTTTGTCATCTTTTCGAAAAAGCTTTGAAAAAAAAAGTAATCATTCCTCAAGTTCTTTATAAATTTCGTTTTTGGAATAACCATTTTTGGTGGTGACAAATTTTATAAGATTAATACGGTTAATCGTTGAGAAATTCATATCTGAATCTAAATCTAGTATATTATATAATAGTAAAAAAGTTGAATAACACAGTTAGAGATAAATGATAAAGAAATTTAAGTGTGAAACTAAATTTGATATGGTATAAAAGTGAGAAAATTGATTACAATCTAGACCAAAAACACAATTACTTTTTAATGGGTTTCGAAAAGTAGAGTCAAAAGACATAGGTTGCCACTTTTCTTATTCTGCAACTGAGCTACTTAATTTATATTATTTTCTTTGTCACAGTTTCAATTCTTAATTATCAAGTGATTCCGATATCTCTCCTTCAGGTAGCTTTTCTTGTTATTCGCACCAATGCTAGTGAACAGTACCTGTGCCATGATGATGTAACTGATGCAATGGCTGTTTTTTTTTTTTTCAATAATTTGACCATGGACTGATATAGATTATGCTTCTTAATAGTTCTTAAATTTTTGTAAAATTAATCCAATCTTTTGTATTACTCTTCATGGGTCTTACCTCGCTAATGTGTTATATATTTTATTTTAGCAGTTATATTTTTAGATGCGTGTGTGAGATAAATAGCTGTGATACAAATCATGTTTTACAAGGATTAAAGAACCATGCATTGATTGATTGGTTATAATAAGAGGATTTGTTTTTCCTTATGTTTGCAAAAGTTTCTACACGACAAGGTTGAGTCACATGTTGCGCTTCCATACATGTGCCAGCAATGCAGTGGTGGATGGAGTATGCAGAGTGGTCGATTTGTCCAAGTTTGTGGCATATGAAGTGATGCATGAGAGGGGAATGTGATGGCAGGTGGAACTTAGGTATATCTAGCTCCAGAATTTGTGTATAGGAATAAGCTTAGAGCAAAGAATGGCGTTTACACAACAGTTTAGTGATGTCTATTCCACTCAGCATGTCCCATCTATGTGCCCTACTGTGTCTTCTGTTGTTCATAGTACCAAGTGTTTGTCCAGTCACCTTTCATGTGAGGAGAATTTGTATTTATACTACTTTTTTTATACAAGTTTTCAGAGAGTTAAGCAATATGTTATTTGGCTTTGAAAAGGATAAAGAAAGAGCTCTAGGTAAACTAGGAGACTCATATGAATTATTTATTATTCTCTATGATATTCAATCAAAGTGATGTGAATGTGTCTCGTAGAATATGATTGATCAAGAAATTTCACTATGGATATAACAAAAAAGGTTCTGCACTGAAAAAACAACCCTAAAGAGAGAAAGATATGAGATACAATACACGATCGGAAAGAAAAGATAAAAGCTGAGTGATGCAGACCAAGATCCAATATGGATGCAAGTTTGATATACAACAGTGGATACTGAAAATTGTTTGATGCGGTTATTGATGATGGCTCTCGTGCGACCAGATTATTGTCCGCATGCATTAGTCAAAACGACAATTCATGTTTTCCTTCGTTGTTAATTTTCGCACACTCTACGTTGTCATAAACGATTAAACACGAGTATATTGCCCTTCTAGCATGAGACTGAAAACAGAAGCATTTTTACTAGAATTAAGTGGAGTAATTTCTCTCTATAAGCCGGTTTTGCATGATTCAAAAACATTGCTTATAAGTGAGTAATATGAGTAGTAGGAATATTGTTCCAAATATCAGAAGACCCGAGAGCAGTAGTCTTTTATCATTCCTTATGGTGGTGTTCTATGTAACATGTGGGATGGTGTGTGTGGAAAGGGTTGGCACAGCATTTATAAGGGATATGTTTCAGAAAATGACTTTATGGAAACCTTTGCTTCACCCCACAATCTTGATTGAACATTGTATGTGTCATTACCATATTTCTGACTGATTCATTTCTTGGGCAGTCGTATACGAAAGCAATGTTGTGCAGATATATACACTTGTTGTTTGTTTAACCAAACGATTGAGAAGGGCCTAGATCAGAAGCATGTAGATTGTGAATCCAAAGAGTCAATATTAATTATTGAAGTTGCCCTTAAAAAGGTTATGTCTACGTTATCCTCGCAGTTGTAGATTGAGATCAGACATTGCCACATCTTAGCTCAACCTAATTCATTGTCTCCTTAGCACATGGTTTTGTTGGCAATTATTAAGCATTTCATTTGATAATTCTAAGCCACCCATATTCTTCATTTCCTTTTTCGTAGTTTGGAAACAAACTTCAAGTTGATCTCGTCATATTTGGGAATGATTTTTCACCACTTTTACCACTGATTTAGTTTTATTTAACGGCTATTATCATTATACTCTATAAGACCCTTTTAGTTTGATTATAATTTGTAGATGGCTATGTATTTCAAAAGATAAAGTGCATAATAATAATAATAAAAAAAAGCATTTAAATTTTGATGAAGTACGTTAAAAACTGAATAATTGTTATAAATAAAAGTAAGGAGCCAAATCATTTACGTGTCGAGAGTTGAAGAGAATCACTGCAATGATATAGAGCCTTTAAATAGATAGATTTCCTATTTCTCTAATCACTATGTAGTTTATTTTTTATTTTTAAAAGGTATTGCTGAGGAAAAAAACGGTGGAGAAACGATAAGGGTGGTGACAAAGGAACGATCTTAACAGAAAAATCTGTGCTGCATTTGATATTTCTCTAGCACACATTTTCATGCTAAGATGATTAAAAATATTGATATGCCAGCTTCACTTAATTTTATATTAATTTAAATTAAACTAATAAAAAATGGTGATTGTGAATTTTGAAAAGTCTTCTCTGTAGCGTATAAGTAAACTATAAAATTAGTAATTAATGGGTGAGTCAATGTTGAACGGTAGCGTAATGAGGTGTCCATGCCAAATGTTCAAGTCAGGTGGATTTATCATGTCACGTAGTGTTCTCCAGTGGGCCCAGTTGCCGAGCGAATCTTAGGCCCATTAGAGGGCCCACTTCACGTTCTAGCTGAAGATCCCATCCATCCATTCCTGTCCCACTTTTTTTCCCTTGGATGAAGACTAGGCTTTCTCACATCTAACTTTTTTTTTTTTTTTTTCTTAGAGGTAGACATCAGCTAAAGTTTAGCACTAATTAGCAAAACCAACCACCTTTCTCAAAAAATACTTCGTGATCACAATTACAACACATTTTAAAAATCTTGACTTATAGTTAAAATCACAGTATAAGCACAATAATGGTGAGAAATATAATACAAAATCTACTGTGTTCTCAAAATGATGTTAAGAATCTAATTTAGTGTAACTGCTTTATTATAACGTATAAAAAGACTATTATGTTGTAATCCATGTGGGCACATTGTGTGCTGTGGATTGAGAGGTCTGTCCCTCAATAAAGTTCCCAGGATAACTAATGTTCATTGATGATGTTCGTAATAATTGCTAATGATTTAGGGGGGTTTTGGATGTGAAGTAGAAAAGATATAAATAAAACATGGTTAAGGAGGAGACACGAATGCTAATCAGCAGTGTTAAATGTCTCGATGGACATTATAATTGGAGGGGAAGAATTGACCTGAAAGGGATACAAAGGTGTTATAAATGACCCGTGTAAGTTGTAACAGAAACAGGTGTTATCACTGTCAATAAGAATGCAAATAAAGAGTGGAGTAATCTCATTATCCCACTCAATAATTAGCCTACGGTTTTTTGGCCACCGTTTTTTTAATAGTATTGTAAAAAAGTTTCTGCAACAGTTGTAGATATGGAGTGTGGCCTTAAAAACAAGGATGAGGAGATCGAGGAGGACACATGATGCTGTTCTGTTCTTGTTGAACTTTGATTCCACACACATCACCAAAATCTCACAAACACCAAATTGGTCAACTTCATCGATTCAAATTTAACTACGGAAATACCTAGGAATTTTAACTCTCATTGCCGCTTTCTGAATTCCAATGAATATCCAAAAACTTTTTTTCTTTTTGGCAGTGTCAGTGAATACCCCAATTGTATAGAAGCGACCATAACGATATAATTAAATGTTTGGTTACTTTTATACGATGAAACCGATGCCAAATTGGTTACTATGTTTGCATTTACTTTTTAAAAGATTTTTTTTATTTAGCTTTAATTTTTAAATTTTAATATAGTATAAATGTATTGTATTTTTTTCATTTCTTAAAATGAACTTTAAACAAAATTTAAGAAGAAACAGAAGGCGTAAAAAAATTTCTAGATATGCTTCGTTTGGTAGTGATAACCATCGTTTTCTTTCGACTATCCATCCACTTTCAAAAGACAAGATTGATAATAGCAATTTGATGCTCCCTATTGAATTGCATGTTCAATGATGTTATATTTGAAATGATATCTTAGCAGGGTAGCTTACACATAGGAAATAATTTAAGTGAAACCTCCAAAAATCAATAAATTATCATGGTTTAATTTTATTGAGATAATTAAATACATAGTTCATGGCAATTATAAAAAGTATACAACATGGGTTTTTTAGGATATATTTCTCCTTAGCTATAAATATTTATATTTTTACTTCCTTGAATTACACTTTTTCTAACATATTTAGTGTTCGACGTTTGAATGTATCAGTACTTTTTTGTTTCACAAGGTTATTAATAATAAGGATATTTTAGAATAATATTAAAATATCAGTAAAATATAATGCAGTTAATTAATCTCTTTCGACATGTATGAATTTATTGTTCGATTTCAAGTGTTTAAACTAACTTCTAAAAAAGACATTCTATATACTCATCTGGTCCTTAATACAAGACATAGTTTAGAAAACAAATTGATAATCCTTTTTATAATGTATTTTATAATTTATATGAAGTATTATCTCCCTATTTAATATTATGAATATGTGTTTTTATTAATAAAATTTTAAACTTATTAATAATGAAAGTAAATTTGATATATTGATACTATTGCTTTAAAAATTTGATAAAAAGTAATTAAATTAATGACTTTTATTGATATATATATTGATACATGTGTGATAATTACTTATGGGTGGGTGGGTGGGTGGGTTTAATGCGAGAGGTTAATTTGTGGCAGTAACTGTACTCGCATTATTGTAGTTTTGGCAGGTATAAGGAAGTAATCATAATAATGCAGCTTTGAATATGACAAATCGTAACAATCGCATTGTGTAAGTTCAATATCCTTTTGTGATCATTTTTTTTTCTGCATATTTAGTCGCAATCACAATCACAGTCTGATCATTACCCACAATGCAATCCTACTTTAAAACTCTCATTACTTGAGTAAACTATATGCCACTCCTTACAACAACATGCTTTATGTTACATAGCAAAAGCTACATATGTTTAATGTAATGGAAAACATGCTAATTAAAGTAAGAAGTGGTGATCAATGATGTCTGCAACAACATGTCAGGGATATAGAAATTGAGATAATATGAGATTTTAGAAGATAAAACACACACCAATCATCACAAATCCACGTGAAGGTGAATAATAGCATGAGATTGGTTTACTAAACAAAACAGTGGCCCTAATATTCTTGTGTAGCCTGGTGTCGGTGTTGACAATTAAACAATTTGTGATATTCTCTTCTTTACGTAATTTTGTTCTTTTTATTATTTTGGATGAAAACTGGTTTGCATTGAGTATGTGGTTTTGAGAGTTTTAAAGAAAGGAAGTGTGGGGGTGTGTCAACTGCAGGGGACAAAAGCAAAGGACACATTACGGCCTTCAAAGGATTTTTATTTATAATTTAATGCATATTTGTTAATTTCTAAGGACACTTAGAAGGGAAGGTTCCCTCCAACAGTTGTTCGTGCCGTGAACCTGGCTTCTTGCTAGCTTTGGAAGGGCTCCATAACTCAATTTCTATTCCAAGTTCACTGTACACTTTTTTAGCTATATATCTTGTATTTTTGCTCTCTCAAAGACAAAAAAAAAGAAAAAGAAAAAGTAATATACATACATAGACACACGCATTGAATACATGAAAATTAATGAGTCAAAATGGTTTCACATGCAAGTATCTCACACACTGACTCATAGTTACGCCACTGCAGCACTAGGAGCAGTTAACATCATACCAGCTTTGCTCGAAATCAAGAAATAATCCTTGGAGTCCCAGACGAAACAGACTTCATCATTTGTTGTGTCCTGCTGCACAATATCCCAGGATACATAATTATTCATTATTGTTTCAAGAGAAAGTTATTTTATGTTCCAATAAATGTACCCTTGGATTTTATTAAGATGTTTGCTTACACGTACGTTATTTATTTATGTTTATTTTTTTGACGTCCAACGTTGGATGTTACGTTTGAAAATTGGAATAAAATATGCATTAAACGAAGTTGAATATTTTGAGTTGTGAAACCATTCCCTTGAGTCAAAAGAGGGCCAAACAATTCTTCTGTTGGCTATCCGAAGGTGGGTGATTAAAAGCGATATTACAGATGAACAGAGTGAAACGTTTGAAACTACATATGGATAAAATGGATTTTGCTGGAATCACAAGTAAAAGGTACGTAATTGATTTATAATATAATCTAAAGAAGAAAAATATGAACAGATGTTAATGAGAATGAAGTTTCCGTGCACATAATCTAGATCAATTCATGTTACTTTCCATATGTAGCTTTCTTAATAAATGCTTCTTCTGTGTACCGTAAAGATAGAATCGAAGGCATTGAAGTCCATGGATGCATACAAACTAAAAAGGAAAAGAAGAGAGAGGTTATAATCTGTACCATCCCAACTTTCATCTTTATTAGGTTTTGAGTTTTCAATATTTTTTTTTTAAATAATTATTTTTATAATAATTGCCGTAACCCCGTGCCTCTCACACAAATAGTGATCCAAATGAATTAATCGGGAGAGATTTATGGCATTCAAATCGAGTCTTTATCTCGGAGTTGTTGGATGTGGGAAAGGAAATTGATTGATTGAACCCCACCTTTGTAATGCTGCAATGAAGTGGCTACTGAAATTGGACCCATATTTCAGGAAAAATACCGTGTCTGGTGGATTGTCACTGCCCCTCCTCATCTTCAATCTTCAACTTTCTCTTCTTCTCTGTGATTTTCTTTTCTCAGTTTTTTGTATTCACATTTATTCATGAAAATACGAGAACCCATTCTTATTTTTACTAAATCAAGCTCAGTGACACAGTGCCTCTTATTCATTTCATACAATTCACACAAAATGTTACGTACTTTTCAACAATGACCTACCATTAATTATTATCTCATCAAGTAGGTCATTGAGATATATAAAGTCTAAAACCTATAATTCTTAATTTATTTTTATAAAAAGTAAATACTCACATGCTAAAAAGAAACATGAATGTGGATTCCTTGGAAAGATTTAAAAGAAAAGATTACTCTCTTAGATAATTTTTGACATTTTGAGATCACTTAGGTCTAATTATTAAGCAGAAAAATATTTGGAGAAAATAATACCTGAGATATTATGATTTATTGTTTTCAATCACATCATTTTATACACCCAAAAACAGGCTATCGGATATATTTTTTTAATAAAAGACTCATCTTTAACGTTAACGGTGGTTGAGGGAGGGTATCCATCAAAGAGATATGCATGTCCTGTCATTGTCTAAATAAACACTAACATTTCATGCATTTAATTATTTTGAATAGAAAATCGTATTCATATTTTATGCACATTGATATCTTTTTTTAGTGGTGTTGCGAAAAGACTTGGTGGTTATCAATCTAGTTTAGGGTGAGAATCACAATGGCAATAGATTGATATAAACATGCCTCTAACTATTTGAATTTTGAAGACACCAAATTTTAATTAATCAAACAATGAACAAAGTATCCACCACAAGATAACCACATTTTTGAATTAAGTGTGAGGTGAGTGGTGACTGCTGTGGGCACACCCATGTGCATATACACCTAACATGCATATGGATCATTCCATTGGCATGTCCAATGGCCGAGGGAGTGGAATCATTCCATTTGCTCTTCATTCCTAAATTTTTAAAGGCTTAATCAAGGTTTGGTTCAGAGTTACATTTTCAGCCATAACCAAAACATGTTTATGTGCAGTGGCTGATTTTTTTTTTGGAGTTGAGAGGGGTGATGATTCCAAAATTTTGTAACTATCATATAATTTATGATTTTGATATTCTTAAATATAATGAATATTTAATATATTTATTTGTATATTTATAATTTTATTTTCTAAGTCACTCATCAGTTTTGTAACTCTCATATCATTTATAATTTTGTTTCACTTAAATTTAATGTTCATTTAATATATTTAAGTATATATCTACAATTTTACTTTTTACCCTTTCATATTATATTTTTTCTTTTATATTTATTTATTATTTATTAATAATATATTATTTGACGTCAATATCCTTCACTACATATGTAATCAAGTATCTTCCCCTTCTCTCACAAAAATCACAATCTTTTTTCGTTTATGGTAGCATACGTTGCTACTGCTTCTAAGCAAAAGCTTTGTTCCTCCAAAATAACAAAAAAGCATGAGACGGAACCACCATTTTTAGTTGTTGTCATACGTTGTCTTCAATTTTATACTCGGCTTTCATTTTAAAGAATGGCTCCTTTCCTTTCTCACTCAAACTTCATATTTCTTTTATAAAGTTAGTATGGTTGTTGTTTGTATTGGGTTAACGACACGAATCTTTTAAAAAAATAGCATTATATTATAAATATGATTATTAATTTCATTTTAAGATAATTAATTTATTAAGTAATCTAAAATAAAACGTAGCAGTTTTAAAATTGATTAGATTATATGGTAGTTTACAATCTTCTTCTCCAAAGAAAATGTCTTATTAAAGTGTCATGTCTAATGATTTTAGGAATTTATCCAATAATTCGATCATATATTATAATATCATCACATAACCTTAATAATTTCATTTAAAGAATAATAAATAAATTTTATATTAATGAAAATAAATATATTGAATCATGTATTCTTAATATTTCTAGCTTCTTTTTGTTGTTACCTTAGCGAAATTCTTTTTCTTTCTATTGTTTTCAAATGTTATTTTTAGCATGTAGTTTTAATTTAATTTGATATTTTAGTTTAGTTTTTTTTATAATAATGTCAATTAATTAAAAAATCAGATATGTAAGCTTTCAAAATAATTATTAAAAAAACAATATTTTATGATTTCATAACACTTTATCACAAAATGATCGAATAAAAAAATTGTTCACTAAAATTCCAATTTTAAAAAATATATTATTATTCTAATTTAATCGAACACAAGAAGATAAAATCAATCATCAAATTGACAGATGTATATAATTTATTTGACAACTTTATATTACTGTAGTGATATTTTAACTATTGCAATGATATTATAGATTTCACATACTTTATTGCAAGGTATATATAATAATGAGAATCAAAGTATATATATTACTATATAGAGTTTATTAAGTGATATTTATATACTAATTAAATATTAAAGTGAAGAGGTATAAATTGGATATATTATGCTTCGACACCTATTCCTTGAAAAGAATATAAATTAAGTTCATGAATTTGGAAGAGTATGTGCATGCACATCAAATTTTTTTCCATATACCTCCTTTTTAATCATCTTTCTCTCTTTCATCTTTGGTATTCATATAATCATCTTATTATCTTGTATGTGGATAGACTAGATTCTCACTTTTTGTCTTTCTACCAGTCATATTTAAATTCTATCAAAATTGGGTCCCAAACTAGATAATGTCGAATATATTATTTAAACTGGAATCAGATTCTTTGCTTGTAGTTTATAATCAAATTTGATATGAAATTAAGGATAACAAATTGATCTCACCAAATAAAAAACTTTTAAATATATTGGATTGATATGAAAATTAATCAACTAATGTACTCATTATATTATTGATGAAGATAGGTGTTAATTTTATTATTGATAAATAATTGTGGCTGGAAAACATTACCTGCCACTTTTTTTTTATGATTTATTTTCTTTGAATGTAATAAGTCTTATTTAAATATTGTATGAAAATTTTTCATTTGAATGAACTTTATAAAATAAAAAATATAAAAAAAAACTGTTTTAATAACAAATAAGTATGAATTATAGGTAAAAAAAAATTAAAAAAATTAATAATAATCGAGAAGAATTGAAATCAATAATGGAGTTGTTAGAGGGTAGAAGAGAAAGTGAGAGAAGCATGCGGTAGGACAGTGTGAAGTGTCCGTGCAGAATAAGATGGATGGATAGAGGTTGAAACCGCGATGCCAAAAAGCACATCTTTACACGACAGTTTTAGGAGTGAGGTGTGTCGACAAAAGCTGCACTACCTTCACACGTTGTTTCAACCCAACTCTATTATTTTTTTAATTAATTTTAGTTGAGAGTAAAATTATTTTTCTGTATTTTTTAAATTGATGAATTTGACATTTTACTTTTTTAAAATACACTATTTTAGTTATTTTGTATATTTAAATTTAATATATAAATATAATTTGTTATCTTAAATAAAGTTAATTAAAGTGTTAAAATGTGAATTTAATCATTTTTTATATTTAAATTTTATATTTAACAATATTCTTACTATTATAAAATTAATAAAATAATTATATTTATTTTCAAAACTTTAAAAACTAATTTATTAAATTTAAACTATACAAGAAAAATTATTTATAAAAAATAATAAAAATAACAAATATATTTAACTCCTTTTTAAACAACATAACTTTTATAATAAATCATGTATAAATTATATCGCTTTAGTATTATAAACATGATTAAAGAATATTATTAATTTTTTATTTTTTTATTAAACAATATATTAATTTATTAAAAAAATAATATATCATAGGAATGTCCTCGTATTTCAATTTAATACTAATTAGTGATAAGTGACTTGGTTTAAGATGCATCTTAAAAATTAAAACAGACTATTTAAAACTCTTATTAAAATTCTACCAAAACGTATTTATTATAAAAATAATATATATATATATATATATATATATATATATATATATTACAATAAAGGATATTATAAATATACTTATTATAAGTCAGGCTTTAAAAATTAAAATCGATAAGGTTGGAATTTTTCCAACACCTTTTTAATTTTTCTTATAAAAGTATACATATCTTATTATGAATTAGAGTAAATTGTTGTTATTCATTATTAGCATATAAAGTTGCAATTATGTTTTAACATTAATGTTTGATATTTGAACTAATATTAAAATATTTATAATATATCTTCATATCATTAATATTTCAAAATGTTATCATCAAAAATCGTCTAATGACTTTAGATTATAAAATCATTACATCTAACTCTAAATGAAAGATTAATTACTACACAACATTTGCAATACTAATTTTGGGTAAAAAAAAATAGAGTGTGAAATTGAAATTTCTCTTATTCCTCCTATTATCATTAGTTATTACCTATAATATCATAAAAATAATAAAGACAAATAAATAATAAGTTAATTATTAAAAATATATTTTCACCTAATTATTTAACAATTATATAACATCTAATAATTCATTATTGTCATATCATTATTTTTCATAATAACAACATAATATATATTATTTTATATTAAAATTCTATATAATTAAAAATTTAATTAAATTTATTATATGAATAAGATATAAATTATATTTTATAAATAAATTATATAAAATTAAGTTAGATAGATATTATTTTTAACATAGTATTATAATATATAATTATTTAGCATTTAATACCTTGAATTATATGATTTAAGATCATAAGAAAATTTTGAATATGTCATTAAATTTAAATTTGTGAACTTAATTTGATTGATTTTTTTTTAAATGTCCATATAGCCAGTTAAACTATATATTTATAAAATAAGTTATAATTATATTGTTTTCGTTTGGACTATTTGTATTGAGAAAAATTTATTAAAAGAATTAATATTGTGTTGACTTGTTGTGTGTGTGTGTGTGTTTTTTTTTCCTTTTTCAATTAATTTTACAATTTTTTTATGGGTTCATTTGTTTTCAAACTGATTTAATTGTGATGTAAACAAACCAGATACTTGTTCATCCAATATAGTTCTTGCAATAAAGCATTTGTGGAAATTTAAGGTTTATTTTTTTCACTTAACAATCTTTTCTCACTTAAAAAGTTTTCTCTTATAAAAAAAACTTGTTATTTTACCAAAATAAAATACAATAAAAAATCAAAATAATTAAAAAATTCCTTTATGTATTTAAATGATCATAGTTTAAAAAGAAAAAAAAAAGTTAATAAATTTTGAAAACAAGTCAAATATGACAGCCGTGTTAAACTACTATCTATTAATCCACATTCATCACTTCTTTGACTTTAGGGATAAAATGATAAGAGGACATACTTTTTTTATGAAAACAATTTGTATGTATTTATATTCCTTAAAAAAATTGTATTATTAGTGTAATTTAGCCATTTTTTTAATGAATATAATATGGTAACTAGATGAATTTTTGCGGAATATTTGTATAAAATAATTTTTTTCACACAGTAGTTGCAGATAAAACTCTTTAAAAAAAAATAAATACACGAGCCGTATAAATAACTGATCCCAACTTGCAAAGAGAAGTTTTGGCCATTGGAGAAAAGAAGAAGAGAGCTATGATTATATTATGGAAGAAACGCTTGACGAAAACCTCTTTGTAAACAAGTGGTGACATGTATTTCGATGGTCAAAACCTTGCAAAGAAGATCAATTTCAATTGAGTATAAATTGTAGAAAAGTTGAACTAAAACGGTTCCATAATAAAACAAGTAAAATTCTGACGTAAAGGTAATCAAGTAGTTAATCAAAAGCAGTGGAAGCAATGAATTTATTGGTGTGTTTAGATCTCCCTCGTAAAACAGTAAGGTGTGATAAAAGTTGAAGCAACCGTTAACTTTTGCTTTTTTAACCAAATTAACATGAATTTTGACTTTAAACATGAAATATTAGACACTATCAAAACTTAAAATAGAGAAAGCGTTTAATTTGCTTTACTTAGATAATAATAATAATAATAATAATAATAATAATAATAATAATAATAATAATTTTAAAGAAAGTATTTGAATTTTTCTTAACTTAAACTGGGGAAGATTCATGCCATAAAAGAAAAAGTCAAGAACTAACGAAGCTTGATAGTATTCTATATTTTGGCAGAATGATGAAATGTTAAGTTTTAGATAATTAAGGTATAATATAACAGATAAAAAATGATTAATTAAGGTATAATGATGTTTGAAGCAGGAATAAAGCTTTGACATGTGAATCTCCTGCTTTTACGATTAGTGGCTGTAGTCTTGAATACAATAATCCTCTTTTACTTTTCTTTTTTGGATACTTTTTCATTGGTCAATAATCAAATTCTAATTATCAATGACATGAAGTAAGGTGCAGAGCCTTTCTTTTTTTTTTTTAATCTTTACTTTGAGTTATTAAGACTCGAAGAAAGGTGGGGTGGACCTTAAAATTTGGAGGAGAGGTGGTAATGATTATGACATTAGAATAATAATTGATGAGCAACTTTAAATAGAAGAACAATTGATCTTTGCAAACAAGATTTCACTCAACTTCTAACATTAAACTTTTTTATACAAAACCTTTAAAAGTTGATTTTTAGGTCATAAGAAACGTGTTTTATTAGTACTAATGGAGGAGTATCCCATCAATTTTAAAACAAAACATAATAATAATAATTTGTCGATTTTATTTTGAAATTTATTTGATCTAGTAAATTTCAAGAAAACTTATTCATTCTGTCCCTTATCTCTCCCTAGATTGTTGGTGTTTGATTTGATGTCATGTTTGAATATATATATATATATATATATATATATATATATATATATATATATATATATATATATATATATTTTGATGGTTTACGTGTTTACGTTTATTAAACTAAATCCTAAACTGAAGTTACGACATTAACTATAATATCTTACATAGTTTAAATAAATCCTACATTAATTATTTACCGATGCATCGGTCCTATAAAATCTTGGCACACAAAAAAAGAACAACCCAATTACAAAAATGGCAACAAGCCACAAATTAAAGTAGTAACATAAAAATTCCATGAATTAAAATAGTAACATCAAACTTCCATAAATTAAAGTACCCAATTGATTTTGTTAGTGAAAAGTCCAACGAGAGGGAAGTAAACAATATCATGATTACGAAAAACAGAATTTTGAAGCATCATATTTCACATTTCATAAATGACTTTTATAGTATTGTGGGACCAAGCATCCACGAAGAATCTCAAAAAGAGGCGATGAAATAATATTAAAATATTCCATAAAATTTACGAACCAAATAATCTACACACAGTTCAAACATCACAAGTGGAGAGCCACGTCACCTGCCATAATTTAAAAAATAAAACCCTAATAATCTATACAAGTTCATGTACAAGATCTCTGTACAATTTTGCACAGAAAAGTTGAAATCTTATTGAATCCAACATTTCAAATAACCCTCTTCCTCACATGGACCCAACTTTTCTGTGAGTTCAGTCGCTTTACACAATTCACCCTCCCACCATAAAAAAATAATAATAATTTTGACTCAATATTTATCTTCTCAATTTACTTCAACCATGATGCTTAAACAAAAGGCTTTCGGTGGAATCTGAACTCTCCTGTGAATATTGGGCCCAACTTTTCTAATCACTAGGAATAGTTTCAGAAATTACGATAAAACCAAAGACATAAAATGTTTTACATCGTTATTCATTCTCAATGATACATTTATTATTTAAAAAAAATTATATACTCATAAATTTTATTAATTAATAATATGAAACTTATATGCTGAATTTTTTTAGTATTATTATTATTTTATACGTCTTACAATAATATTTTTTATTTTTTATACATTCGACCATCACTTGGCAAAAACTACCTTCTTTTACGACGAAACGAAGAAGTAAAATATTCAGTTACATATAATATTTTGTAAAGTAAAACTTTGATGAATTGAATAACTAAAGTAGACATGATGATTGAATTCGATTTCTTTATTTTTTACTTTTTTGGTACAAATTCAATTTGGTTGTGTACCACAACAAAATGGTTTGCAGTGTAAATCTATCTACAATGCAATGAGTGTAAGTTTATAACTCCAACATGCTATTTTCACCTTATCCGATAGCATTCGAATGTGTTACTGTTTTAGAACTTTTTGGCGTAAAAAAAGAAGAGTGTGGAAGTATGTATCGTAATTTAGGAACGTTAATCTGTGTGCGTGTGTTTTGTGTTTATTGCATAGTCTTACTTGGCTTAGCTTAGTTGTTTAACCATGTCTGTCTGTGATTCACTGCTTTGGTCTATATTTGATGTCGGCTTGTTCAGTTCACATACACAGAAATAAAGCTGTCTTGCCTTTGTTCGCCACTCTTTTCTCTCTTTCTCTCTCTTTCTACTTTGATCTCTGTTGCATCACCTGTTGTGCCACCTCAATCCCCAGAAACAACAGTGCATACCCATTTCATGCTTTTCCATTTTGGTCATTTCTTCCCTATGTTCTTTTGTCCACCCTCATGAATATGCTGCCTGCAAGGTGATTCTTTACGTCATATTTTCATATAACTGGGGCTTTCGTAACTCTTTTCTTCTTTGCCTCTTCTTTTGTTTCCTATTCAAAGTGGCCTATTTTGGTGTTTTGCTTTTCTTTCTTTTGTTGTTTAGTGTGTTATTGAGATGGTTCTTTCTGCTGCACAGGTTTTGGCTTCCTGGAAATCATCAGCTTCACTTGTTTTCCATTCTTTGCTGATGCGGATAGTTTCAGCTGAGAGTGTTGCTTTTAGAGTTTTGACTTGTGCAACAAGAAGGATTCCATTGCTGGGGCTTACTCCTATTTGTTTGAGATTTGGCGCTGACATATGTGGCTGGTATCCACGGATGTTAAGTTGTTGAATTGGAGTGGTTGGGCTGTGTGGACATTGAAGTTACAAATTAGTTGCATTTGAGGGAAAAGGGTCAGTTTTTTTTTTTTCTTTTTTCCTTGTGTTCGTTTCTGGGGCAGTGCTGGATGAATTGAAGTTTTTGAAAAAGCTGTTCAACAAGGGTTCTAGATAAGGCCATGTGGTGAATTTGATTGGGTAATTTTTTTATAGGTCGTGATGAAGGCTCCATCCAATGGTTTCGTGCCTAATTCTGGGGAAGGTGGGTGTTCTCTAACCTTACTGCCTCACCATTCCTCTCTATCTTTTTCTCTCTTTTTCTCTGCTTGTGTTTCCCTATTTCATGATTCATCAAGCATAATCCTGGCCAGTGATACCTAGGATGATTGTTTTCAAGGAAAATGCTACTTTTGTGTTGTTAAATTAAACAAATAGCATTTTAGATGAAATAAGCATGGGCATTTGAGTCGTTGGTGTTCAAAAATTGGGTTACTGTCAAATGGATTTTTTAGATATGCAATAAATAGTTGGCCATTTTTTTTCTCCTGAAAAATGAAGAGAAATAATTTTCATCTTGCTGTGTAGTTACTTAAACTGTATAGAGTTGTTTGCTTTAATTGGGCAAAAGGGTCACACATTGCTTCTGAAGTTTCGTTACAAGTAGGGAAACGGTGAATATGTTTGCGTGATAGTCTTCAGAGAGAATATGATTCGTATGTAATTAAAAATTGAAGAAAAGAAAAGGGTTTTCACCTTAATTTAATTACCTCTTAGTATATTCTCACAAGAGGAATATGCAAGATCTGTTCCTTTGCTTTTTGCACTAAAAATGCTTTTTAGCAATTGTAAATACGTGTCTAAGCTACCACCTCCTGAGAAATATCGATCGTTAAAGAATTATATTTCTTTATTCTATAATTATAAATCCTTTTGAAATTCATCATCTCTTCTTCAATAGCATGCTTGAAGAAACTGTAACGGATGTAACATAAAGTAGTTCATGTTTTTCCATCCAACAACTTAGGCTTCCAAGATAGTTGATTCTTGCCGTGTCTGTGCATTTTTCCATGCCTCAAGCTCAAAGGGCTCTTGCATGAAATGACATGTTAATGATGCAGAGTGACAGAAACTTCTCTCCTTCTGGATTTGATTATGCTACTATGAAGTTTGCATTCTTTTTATTTGCGTCTGAATCATTTTCAGTTGGAGCAAAACTTACTTTCACGTGGAAAGGAATTTCTTTGTATTTATAGCCTCTTAAAATCTTTGTTTGTTGTGGTATTGTACACAACTTGGATTCAATAACTTCAGTCTTTTTCTGTGTGTCAAACGACAGAGTCATAAAAATGCATTTAAGAAAACAAAGCTATAATGTCTGTTAGGGGTAACCGTATCTTGGTTTCGTTAGCAGGGGAAAGGAAGACAATCAACTCAGAGTTATGGCATGCTTGTGCTGGACCTTTGGTTTCTTTGCCTCCTGTTGGAAGTCTTGTGGTTTACTTCCCCCAAGGGCACAGCGAACAAGTATATTTCATACGCCATGATTCTATTCTATGAGCTTGACATTTCTGTATTTTGAATACTGATGTAAGTTCTTTGTGATTACTATAACTTTCAGGTTGCGGCATCTATGCAAAAGGAGACTGAGTTCATTCCCAGTTACCCCAACCTTCCCTCCAAGTTGATTTGCATGCTTCACAATGTTGCCTTGCATGTACGTGCACTTCCCACATGTGACTAGCTGTTTTGGATTTGACACAATGTTAATTTGTCTGATTTAATACATGAGCATGATATAATATTGTTGTGTATATTTTACCAGGCTGACCCTGAAACTGACGAGGTCTATGCACAGATGACCCTTCAACCTGTAAACAAAGTATGTTAACTGTTCAATCTGAGAATTTGTTTATTGCACGTGGGATTTAATTTCCAACTTATGTTTATGGTTCTCTCAAGCAAATGATTTGGAAATTGCAACAAATATTGTTTGAATTGGCTCTTACAGTATGAGAAAGAAGCAATACTGGCATCAGACATGGGTCTCAAACAAAGCCGTCAACCTACCGAGTTCTTTTGCAAAACTCTTACAGCTAGTGACACTAGCACTCATGGTGGATTTTCTGTGCCACGTAGAGCAGCTGAGAAAATATTCCCACCTTTGGTACGTGCATACCATTTTCATTTTCTTTTATTCTTTGGAGCTAGAGCTAGAATCACAAAATGTTTGCATGCTGATCATAAGTGTGTTTTTTAGGATTATTCAATACAACCTCCAGCTCAGGAGCTTGTAGCCAAGGATTTGCACGATAATACATGGGCATTTAGACATATTTATCGAGGTATTATCGGTTTAACATTTTCTTTATTCATTGCCATCTTTCTAAGTATATGGTACCACTGAAAGTGCTTTTTAAACTAAACTGCCAAGGGTTATATTATCTCCTTAGTAGTCCAAAACATTTTTGTTAAACTAAAATATAGATCAATTTCTTCTTTTAGAAAACTTTCTTAATATGTGGTTTGTACCAAATTGTGAACATAGAAGGTGTGTAATTGATTTTTACAGAGTTTGAATGCTAATTGCTAAACTTGGTTGCACATCGGCTACAGGACAACCAAAGAGGCATCTATTGACTACTGGTTGGAGTGTATTTGTCAGCACAAAAAGATTGTTTGCTGGAGATTCTGTTCTTTTTATCAGGTTAAATATATTTGATTTTGCATGTGGAAATTTCTGCAATATTTTGACCCCTTGTTACTGAGCAAAATTGTTTGGGTTGTTTCTAGAGATGAAAAGCAGCATCTTCTTTTAGGTATAAGGCGTGCTAACAGACAGCAACCAGCACTCTCTTCATCAGTAATATCCAGTGACAGCATGCATATTGGCATTCTTGCTGCTGCTGCTCATGCTGCTGCAAACAACAGTCCATTTACTATATTTTACAATCCAAGGTACTAGTTGGTATGTGTATTATCATGTCATAACATGGCATGAATATTGAATAATGCTTCTTTGAATTTGACAGGGCGAGCCCCTCTGAATTTGTTGTTCCATTGGCCAAGTATAACAAAGCCATGTACACTCAAGTTTCTCTTGGAATGAGATTTAGAATGATGTTTGAAACTGAGGAATCTGGAGTACGCAGATATATGGGTACAATCACTGGTATCAGTGACTTGGATCCTGCCCGATGGAAAAACTCACAATGGCGCAATATTCAGGTATTATTAAACAACACATCACTGACAGTGTAAAGGTTTTCATCACTATCTTCTAATCACAAATCATCAAGTATGTTACGTTTGTTGACCTTTAAAATAACTACCTTCAGATTCATAACAAAGATAATTTCTGAGTGGTTGAAATTCAAAAATCTTTTATACTTCCTATGCATGCCTATTAAGCACAAATTTCATTATTTATTTTGTTGAATTGGTTAAGTGCCTTATAACATCCATTATGGTCTATACACATGCTTGGCCCTGTGTTCCTCGCCCTCATGGTTATAGCATGTGCCTTGCTGTAGTAATACACAGAACCTCTTTGTTGGCTTATTGAGATATTCATGTTTAGAATTTTTTATAGGTTGGATGGGAAGAATCAACAGCTGGTGAGCGCCCCATTAGAGTTTCACTTTGGGAAATTGAACCAGTAGTTACTCCTTTCTACATTTGTCCACCTCCATTTTTTAGGCCCAAGTTCCCCAGGCAACCCGGAATGCCAGGTAGCAATACTTCACACCTAACTAGTTCAGCTTTCTTTTAAAGATTCCTTGTCTTTCAATTATTTCTCTGGTTGTTCACTCATTACTCAAAAGAGAAACTTTCTTTAATTTAATTATTTTCTTCTTGTAAAGAGTTCACATATGTATCTTCACATTAACATAAGTAACACTTTAGTGGTAATTTCTTGTAAAAAAGCTGCCTATAACTGTGTTATTTAATTGTTGCGAATTATGTTGATAGTTTTACTGTTCATAGAGTCAGCCTTCCATCATGAAAAATAAATCAAGTTACTTCTGTGTGGAATGTACAGTCTCGTTTGTAATGTCAATTTTTAATAGTATCCTCTAAAACCTGCATTTTATTCTTATTCCCATCTTTGTGCATGGTGAGTGGTGACAGATGATGAGTCAGATATGGAAAATGCTTTCAAGAGAGCCATGCCCTGGCTTGGAGATGAATTTGGCATGAAGGATGCCTCGAATTCAATCTTTCCTGGTTTTAGTTTAGTGCAGTGGATGAGCATGCAGCAGAGTAATCAGCTCTCAACGGCTCCATCAGGATGTTTCCCATCTATGCTTCCATCTAATACCCTTCAGGGTAACCTTGGCACTGAAGATCCATCCAAGTTATTGAGCTTTCAAGCTCCTGTCCTCTCTTCCCCAGGTCTTCAGTTAAACAAACCTAATCTACCAAATCAAATCAGCCAGTTGCAACAGTCACCTGTGTCTTGGCCTCAGCAGCAACATTTGCAACAGCAACAACAACAGTTGCAGCATCAACAGCAACAACAACAGCTGCAGCATCAACAGCAACAACAGTTGCAACATCCACAGCACCAACAGCTGCAGCATCAACAGCAACAGCAACAGTTGCAGCAGCAACACCACCAGCAGCAGCAACAGCAGCAATTACAGTCATTGTTGCAAATACCAGTGAACCATCTCCAGCAGCAGAGGCAACAGCAGCTTCCTGAACCACAAAACCTGCCATTGCTGCAGCAACTGCCTCAACAGCTGGGACAGCAGGCCCAGAAACAGCAACAGCCAGGTCAACATGCTACTCTCATGAATAATGGGGTAGTTGCTTCTAACCAGATTACAAGTCAGTTTGTACAACAACAAATAGCATATGGTCAGCTTCAGCAACAACAATTACTCTCAGGAGGTATGCAACCCCAGCAAGGTATCCAATCAGCTAGTAAGAATACATTTCCATTGACATCTTTACCACACGACTCACAATTTCAGCAACAGATAGATCAGCAAGCTAACCTCTTACAGAGGCAGCAACAGCAACAACAGACACAATTGCAACAATCTCCACTGCAGTTGTTGCAACAAAACCTGCCTCCGAGAGCTCCACAACAACAACCGCCTGCCACTCAAATGTTACAGCAAAATCCTTCAGAACAACAACTCCATCTACAGTTGCTACAGAAATTGCAGCACCAACAACAACTTCTTTCTACTTCCACCCCACTATTGCAGTCTCAGCTTCTACCACCACAAAATACTCACCAACAAAACCAGCAATTACCGCATCCCCCACCACCTACATCACATCCTCAGCCTCAACAGATTGGCAATAATGCTTTCTCGACAGAGAATCTTCTCAACAGTAACAACTTCTCTTCTTCATCTCTTATGCAATCACAACAGATTCCTGTGAACCAATCCCAGAATACACAGAAATCACTTACCATCACCAGAGCTCCCTCTACATTAACAGATGGAGATGCCCCATCATGTTCAACTTCTCCATCGACTAATAACTGTCAGGTGTCTCCTCCAAACCTCCTGAAAAGAAATCAGCAACTACCAGCTACATTAGGGGGGAGTTTGATAGTTGATCCCACTAGTAATCTGATTCAGGATCTTCACAGTAAGCCTGACATGCAGAACAAACATGAGTTGCTCAATGTAAAAGGACCTGACCAGTTGAAGTATAAAGGGGCAATCACTGATCAGCTGGAAGCTTCTTCTTCTGGAACATCTTACTGCCTTGATCCTGGAAATGTCCAACAGAACTTGCCACTTTCCAACTTCTGCATGGAAGGGGATGTCCAATCACACCCAAGAAACAGTTTGCCGTTTGACTCTAATCTGGATGGTCTAACGCCTGATACTATGCTTTTAAGAGGGTATGACTCTTCAAAAGATCTTCAAAATTTGTTATCGAACTATGGTGGTGCTCCTAGAGACCTTGAAACTGAGCTGTCAACTGCTGACATGAGCTCGCAGTCGTTTAGGGTGTCAAACATGCCTTTCAGCTCTAGTGATGTTGTCATCAATGACACTGGTGTTCTGAATAATAATGGCTTGCGGGCTAACCAAACCCCACGAATGCGGACATATACTAAGGTCTGTCGTTCTGTGACATTAGCAAATAAATCTATTTGGGATATGTATTGCTTGCATTGTGCGTGTGTGCCTCAAACTTAAAAGTATAATTAAATTAGATGATGTATTGATATTCAAATGGTGTAAAAATTTTGTAGGTTCAAAAGCGTGGCTCTGTTGGACGATGTATTGATGTTACCCGTTACAAGGGATATGATGAACTTCGGCATGATTTGGCTAGAATGTTTGGGATTGAAGGGCAGCTAGAAGATCCTCAAAGGACTGACTGGAAATTAGTATATGTGGATCATGAAAATGACATCCTTCTTGTTGGTGATGACCCTTGGGAGTAAGTAGCTAACTCATTAATTTGTAAACCTACATCTACAATTCTGATTTATTTTTCTTGACCACCAACTTGTAATTCCTTGCAGTGAATTCGTAAACTGTGTACAAAGCATAAAGATATTGTCATCTGCAGAAGTGCAGCAAATGAGCTTGGATGGGGATTTAGGTGGTAATGTTCCACTCCCCAACCAAGCTTGTAGTGGGACAGACAGTGGCAATGCATGGAGGGGACAATATGAAGATAACTCAGCTGCCTCATTTAATAGGTAAGGATGTCAAATGCTGACACTGAGAGATGAACACGTGCAATATGAGTGGTGGAGAACCAATGTAACATTAAAACATTATGAAACTTCTAATTGGTTTGGTGTTTCTCAAATGGAAAGGAGACATTCATTACAAATGATGCAGTTAATTGAGGTATTGTAGAAGAGGTGGACTCTACACATAACTGCATGCTAGTGTATAACCTTAAGTGTAGCAAGAGCAGATTCTCTTACTATTCATGCCACGGATCCTATACCTTTGGAAGTCGACTTTTCTTATGGATGTTGAGTTAGAATATTATTTTCTTTGAAATTTTTGCCAGGTACAGCAGAATAGGCCAGCTAGTGTAGTGTATAATTAGTGTAAACATTAATTTTTACTTATCTCTTGTAAATCTTGTTCTGGTGATAGTTATATATATAAGGAAGTTTGGTGTCTAAGTGATGGCTCAGACAATCAACAATGCGTGCCAATTCTATTTGAACTCTTCAACGTCGGAATTAGTTTGCTTCAGAGAGACAGCTTTGACAAATAATTTCTAGCCATATACACATATACTTTCTTAAAAAGCTAAAAAGAGTATGTGAATACGATGCTAACAAATATGCACAAAAATGGTCTTCTCTAAAAATAGTCCACCAAAAAACATTTATTTTGTGTAAAAGTTTTATATATTCACATTTTAAATTCGACTTTGTTTGGTAAGCTTAATTTTGCTGTATTATTAAGATGGATGATTAAGATATAGTCTTATTTAAGAGATTGTTGTGATAAACAAAGGCCAACTTAAAGGAGTTATCAAACTCACGTGTTCTCGATCTTTCATGTTATCTGGCCCCAGCATATCTACAAGCAAAGTCAATTAAAAATAACAATCAATTTTATATTAAACTTTTTTGTCAAGTTATTTTGATGTGACCTTTTGATTCGTTGCTGATATGGATACTATACTACCCCCATAATTGCTCTCACTTAGTGCTTGTAGAAAATGTCATTCTTTCTCCATGAGATTTTAGTGTTGTTTTTCTATTAAGAAGTGGAAAAATTATAAATAAAAAATAAAAGAGAATTACATACGTTTTATTTTAAAAAAATAAAAAATTCAATCTTAATTCATATATAATAAATATAATAATATTTTTTTAATATAATCAATTATTCATAAGTATATAATTGATTATTTATATTGATATAATATATTAGGTATAATATATTCAATTACATTCTTCAAATGTTTATGATAAGAGTGTTTTATTTCCAAAGTCATGATGAAAAAAATATAATTTATTATTAAATTAAAATTAAAATATAATTAATTATTTTTTAATGATTAAATTACAAAATATATTGAAAATTTATAAAACATGACTAAGTTAAAATTTCACATCAAGACAACATAAATATTTCACTCATGTTTCTTGTATTTCTTCTTATACATGATAGATCAGTACTTTTTTTACTTTTTTTTATATATTCATTACCTTTTATTTTATTAATAATTAGAATTATGAAATAAATTTTTAAAAAAATGTAAACCTTTAGGAAAATTTATCGAATTATTTTTTACTCTAAAAAAAATATCTATAATAATTTTTCCTATTAATCCATATCTAAAAAATCTTATTTTTTTAACATGAAAAAATTGTTACAATTGTCGAAAATACTAGACCCACTGAATGAAAAAAAAATTGAAGAAAAATTTATGATAAGCTCGATTTACTATTTGTAGTTTATATATATTACACTCATTCATCTCTCCAAATGAATACAAATAGCTAAAAATAAATATACATATTCTCTTTTTTTCTCCACACATTCAGCTACCCATATAAAGACTAATAAGTAATAAAGTAAAAAGATAATAAAAATGAATATAACTAGAATTTTAAAAAATAAATTAAAATATATTAATTAAAAATAAATTTCATAATCAAATATAAATTGTTTCTAACATAATTTATAATAAAAAAATATAATATAATGATATACTTTATTTTTCATTCCCTTTTCTCATTGTAAGTATATGTTATACCAAGTTAAGAATGTTTTTTTTACAACAGTCCTCTCTTTATTTTATTTTCTTATCTTCCTTCCCTGGTAGCAAACACATCGTTCAGAGACTGAATAAAAAAACTAATCTTTAAGAAATATAGACAAATATTTTGTTAGTATCCTACTATTCCTCTTTTTACCCCTGGAACGATAAATATAATAGGTCTTAGGATAATTTTACTATAAAATGCTTAATATTTGTTGGAATTAGAGTAAGAAAACAAAATGTGATTATTTTAATAACAAATAAATTATTCAATTAAGTTATTATAAAAATATAAAATGAATTCATCTATTTAATTTTATGGGTGATCAGTGACTTATTTATTATTTTTTAAATTTTTATAATCTTATTAGTCTTATCGATCAAAATTAATCTAATTAAACTTTTCATAACTTTATCTTTCTTAAATTTATCTTAAAGTTTTCAAAACCATGGTTAAATTTGATTTACAACTTAAATTTCAACATTGTAAAAGTATATATATTTTTTAAATATTGATTTTAAGGATGAATTAGATACATATCCATAATTAAAAGAATGTTAAGAGATAGATTAGATTCAATTTTTCTAAAGTAAATCAGATTAAATCAACCTTTTATTAAATTTTTAATGGATCAAAACTTTTTTTTTTTACCTGGTCCAGTATAATTATCATTTAAAATAAAATTTATCTTATTGATTTCCTCAATTTTATTTGAACAAATTATTTTTATTTGAACGCATATTGCATGTGCAAGTTGCAAATCTCATTTGTGCTCATTCAACTGGTCTTGAAAACGGAATAATTTCTCTCTTCCAAATCACTGTACATCTCTACTTACGTTTACATTGATTCCATGGTGGTTACTGTCGTGGATTTCTGTCATAGCAGTGGTCATAGCCTTAATTTGGTTTAGGATCAGGGGTATAATGCTGCTTCTATTTTATATGAACCCTTGCAAGTTTAATTCAAATCGTAAAGGAACAGAACTGCAATCAACTACATTTCATGCGTAGTCACAACATTTATTTCTACTTCGCTCAACTTTAACATGAAAACTTGAGGTTGCAAAATTTGTTACTAGGACAGGATAGCCATGATTTCCGAAGCTCTTAAGGCAATGTAGTTAGAATCATCTTTGCCCTTGAAGTCATTCCCCGCAAATTTGGAGTACAGAACGGTATTCCCTGGTGTGATGGACAATGGTTTTCTGTTACCTTCCTCATCCAGAGGCCCCGGCCCCACTGCTATCACCTGTTGTAACATCAAAGCCAGAGTAAATATATACTGGTGGTTTTATAATAACTAAACTACTTATAGGTCATATCACTACTGGTGAAAATATTTATACCGGAAGTGCATAACTATAAATTTCTAAACAGGTTATGGAGTAATCTCAGAAAATAAACTAGCAAGAGCGGAAAATACTCAGGAAAAGTATTGATTTACACTATACAAAAAACGCACTCATTTAGGTCAAGGAAATACAACACTGGCAAGTATCAATTAAATTGTTCTCAACATAGAACTCTGACCACTCGAGCTTCTTCTTTTTTTTTTTTCAAAAGTAATTTTCGTTGTAACTATACTAACTTTTCAACAAAAGAGGTTAAGAATAATATGAAAGCTCACCGTTCCAATAGATGGTTTCTCCTTGGTTGCCTCTGTTAGCAACAAACCACCAGCAGTTTTTTCCTCAGCATCTGCAACCTGCGAGTGAATGTTTAGATAAATCAGCTAATTACCTCATTAATTCATTTTTAAAGGCAGTAAAGTAAACAGAAATTATATTCCCAGTAAATGCTACAACCTTAAAGCAAAATATGGCAAAAATAAGTTAGTAAATGGGTAGAACAATGCACCTTGGGTATTAAAAGATAAAGGAAACTTATTTGAGATTGTGATTCTCTTAAGCCCTTTTTAGCTTATTCCAAAAAAAAAAATTACTTACTGTAACTTGTCAAAACAAAAATATTTGTAAACTTATTCTTACAAACTTCATGGTAATAAATCTTAATGATTTATGTGACTACGCACCCTAAATATGTGACTAACTGACAATTATCCAATGCCTTTCTCCAACTAACATCCAACTTCAGAATAAGTAAACCTCTAAGAGTAACGCACCTTTATCAAAACTCTATCGTTCAAGGGTTTAAGATCCTTGACCTCATCGGTTTCAAGGATACCAATGATGTCATCGTCCCTCAGTATAAGATGCTTTGAACCATTGAACTCCACCTCAGTCCCTGCATACTTTGAATACACAACTTGTGCACCAGTCTGTACAAAGAAATGCATCACATAAGTTCAAATTTCAACATGAAGAAGAAAACTCTCCTTTCCCCTATTCAATTACCGTCAAGTTTAGAAGAAGAAAAAATGAGCACGGATTGAAATGTCAATGATTTCCTGACATAGAAAGTAGTAACATTACCTTCACACTAATATCCACGTTGTTTTTCCCAATCGACTTCCCTTCTCCAACAGCAACCACTTCACCCCCTTGAGGTTTGCTTTGAGCAGTTGTTGGCAGTAAAATCCCACCTGCAGTCTTCTCCTCAGCATCCTTAATTTTCACCAGTACTCTCTCACCCAGAGGCTTAACAGTGGTGTGCTGGATGGTGAAATACAATCAGAAACATGTGGCATTGAACAGAAAAAAGTCAATGTAAAAACCAAAACGCTGAAAACAATCCTGGGCGAAAACTTATTATATCTATGTCAACAATCAATCACAAAGTCCACCTAAGAATGAGGGGCTCTCAAAGATATAACCAAATGCATTAACAATAATAACAATGGCAATGACAATAAAGACCTTGGGGGTGACAACAGTCGCAGCTTTGACTACAAGAGAGGGTGAGGTTTGTGTGAGGGTGCCAATTCTCACGTGCCCAAGAGAAGGAAATCGAAGCGTTGAGGGTTGAAACCTTTCAAATGCGGGCAAATTCCTCAATGATGCAGTCATTTGAGAGGTTGCCATTGGAGCTGCTAAAAAAATGAATATAGATTAAACTACGCTGCCTTCGACAACAAAACATGGTCAAACAATGTTGTTAAATCGTGCATTGCATTTCCGTGAATCACTCCCAAAGTAGCATTAGATTGAGATTTTTCGTTCAGGCTAACCAAATGAATTTTCTAAATTTGGAGAGAACCATGTTTTTTCTACGAAGAGAATACACAAGAGATTAGAGAGTGTACCTTATCAAAAGCGTGCCACGAAGCTTGGAAGGTGAGAGAAACAGTGAAAAGAACGATAAATATAAACCCTAGATCAATACTATTGTCCTTTCTTTTATCCGATAATAGTAGTAAGTGAATAGAAACGTCTAGAATGCTACAGAGGCATCGCACCGTCCATCAATCCTCAATGTAATCTTCACCTTACCACTATACAAAAACTATTTCTCAACATTTTATAAAAGAAAATCAATTGAGATATTATATTTCATATTTTAAAGAATTTATTTTGCAAGAAAAATAAATCTTAACCTACTTTCAGTGATTTGGAAGACTTTAGAGTATGTTAATTTAGTTTAATAATTTGTTTGGTTTATATGATAAAAAAAAAAAATATATATATATATATATATATATATATATCATTAAAAAATTAATTGAAATGAGATGAGATAAATAATGAGAATGACGTGAAATAGCCGTTCTCGAATAAATACATTATATAATTGTACTAAGAAAATGAGTTATTTAAAAGTCTATTCAATTTATCATCATATTGTTTAAAATTATTTGATGTTTTTTTTAATAGATCATCAATGAATTTGATTTAATAATTATTATTTATATTTAATATTCTTAAAATTTATAATTTTTTTAAAAATTATTTATCTTTTTACGTTGTCCAATAATAGTTATTCACAGTATATATTTTGAAAAAAAATTATCTTTTAATTTTAAAAGTTGTATGTAAATTATATTTGAGTTGTAAAAAATATTTATATATCGTCCACGTATGTCCTATCCAAAATTTTGGATGAGAAAACTAGGTTATATTTGTTTAAAAAGACAAAAATGAAAGAGATGCTCAGTCAAGAAAAAAAACAGAAGGCACTAACTTTAATACTTAAATCTGATCATTTCTTTATAGATCGATATATTATTTGGGAATTACATTAAATTATAATCAATTTTATAAATAATATATTTAAAAATTTATAATTTAAAAAATGACTTGAAATTTTTATCCATAATATATTTAAATAAAATTTTTTAAAGTTTATTTATCTAAATAGATATATTAATTATTCATATATAAAATTTAATAATAAAAAATAAATTGATATGATAATATATATATATATATATATATATATATATATATTTTATAGTTGACTTTTTATTCCTCAATCATCATTTTATGTTTTTTTTTCTGTCATTCTATTTTATCTTATTCTTTTACCTAAAAATAATATATTAATATTTTATTATATATTTAAAAATAAAATTATTTAAATTATCTATAAATATAATAATTTAATATATTATATTTTTTTAAAAATTATAGAATAAATATTTGATATATTATAAATATTATTTTTATGTTATAACTGTTAAGAAAAATATATTTATTCTAAAGGAATTTTTTAAATTTTTATTAAATTATCTGACTAATCATCATAAATTAACTTAATTATAAGTAGATTAATTTATTAAATAAAAATATATTTAATTCATAAATATTTAATTTTTTAATTAGATGAATAATTAATTTTTATTATGATAAAATAATTTTAAATTTATTATTTATATTATCATAAATAAAATTATTTATTGTATAATAAATAAAATTATTGATATTTTTTAGTTTTAATATATATTTTTATTATTTTAATATGTTTTTATTAAATTTTAATATAATATTTTTAATTATAATAGTAAATGGGAAGAAAAAAAAGAGGAGTGAAAAAAAGAGAAAAATAAAAAATCAACTACGAGAGAGAACCAATTTTAAAAAAATTATAAGAAGGGAGGAAAAAAATATAATAGAAGATATTATAGTAAGTTTTATGTTAAAAGTTGAATGAAATACATTCTTAAATAGTTAATATACAAAAATATACTTAAAATTGTATTTATTATAGAAGATATTGTTATAATAAGTTTTATGTTTTTATTATTCATTTGAAAATAATTAATAATAATAATTTACAACAATTATATTAATTATCATATAGTGATCAATTAATTATTAAATTTGAAACGTAGAAGGATAAAGATATTTGAATAAAGTAAAAAGGAAATAATAGAAAAGGCACTTAACTAAAAGAAATTAGTTATGGTAAAACGTGGTAACAAATGACCCCCTAATCTAAACTAGGATGTGTGAGTGCGCAATCCGTTCGACCAAATGTCTCCTCTGAAACATGAATTGAAGGAACATGTTTTCTTGCCAACACAAACCTTCACGATGAAATATTCGTTATTATTCTAAGAATAGTCTTAAAAGAAAATAATACAAACACTATGAGAGTCTTACCCTTTGTACGATGGACAATGAACTGTTCTTGCTTTCGCAACTTCCCTGGGTAATACTCCATCCACCACACAGTCCTTTGAGGTGAATAAAATTATTTACGTTATCCTATTCATTTTCGATCTACAACATTATTCACAAAACTTATGCCTGACCACATTAATGGAAACCATTCTTAGGAGATCCAAAAGAAAAGAGAAAGTGCCTGACTCCCAATTATATAAACTTACTCTGAAAGATGGAAAATTTATAAAAATACGATACCCGTTTGTTAATTCTTGTTAATATATTAGTTATATAACTCTATATTTTTTTAATTTATATAGTAAACTATTATTATGATATAATCCTATGTTTTAACAAATGCAATTTTTTAATTTCGAAAATAAAGATGAAAGTCATTTCTTTAATCGAAACAAATTATATTTATTTGTTATGAATTTAATTATATTGTAAGTTATATATTAAAAATATTTATTTTTTATATTTTTGGTCATATAATAAAAAAAACATTTGTTTGTGTATTACAAGGTAAAGTACTAGTTGTTAATAATTTAAATAGTTCATTTTAAATTTAAGATGTATTAATTGATATTTTCAAAAATATTTATTATTAATTTCATTTATACAACATTAAAAAATATTCCTATATTATATATGGATTCTGAGAGAAATTACAATATGCACTAAATGTATTAAAAAAGTTACACTATAAATTATTTATAAGCAATTACTTATGGTATTTACTTTTATAATAATTGTCTTAAAAATTAAGCTCTAAAAGTCAATTTTTTTACTAATTCACAGAGTAAAAGCTTTAAGAAAAGTCTTAAATTTAAATTTTATAATATTTTTCTAAACAGTCCATAACCTAAAAATTAGTAGTTAATTGATAATTTTAAGCGCAAAGTTAGTTAATGAATAATAGATTTGGCAAAAACATAAAATTAGCACAAATCGTTTTCCAATTTACCGAAATGGTTTATTTATTTTTCAACAAAAAAAGGGATTTAGTAAATCGTTTGTATAAAATATATTTGACGACAGAAACAAAGTCACTACGACTTTTTTTTTTAATACCTAAGAATGCTAGGTTAGTCAATAATTATTATTATTAATTTAATTTAGGCTTTTTATTTATTTTTCTTTTTGGTGTGTTATTTCTTAATATTATAATTGATTTAATCAGGAATAAGGTACCACTTATTAAAATTAATATTTTTTTTTTGGTAAAAATTTGAATCACAGTGGTTGAGCTGAGAGAAAAGTTGAAATCAACGTGGCCGCTGGATAAAAATTAAAAAATAACGTGATCGAGTTCTAATTTGATATGATTAAATAGGACAATAATACGATTAATTATTATTTTATAAAGGATCCTTTCATTTATAAGAAAACGGAGGGGCACACGGTGCAACACTTTTACGAACGTATTTTTTTTTTTTTTCAGAGAAAGCTATTGTTTATTGGAAAAATTAAGAATGTTTGATAAAGGAAAAGGGGAATGAGAAGATTGAGACTTATTTTTTAAGTTTTTTTTAAACTTTAACAAAATACATGGTAATTATTTTGTTAATATCACTTTTAAAAATAACATATTTTTTATTAAAAATAAAAATAAGAATTGATAAAATATATTTTTATTTCAATTTTCTATTTTTATTGCTGACATGGGTTGTTGTTTTTTTTATTAATAAGTATATTATATTCTTGGTTGTTATCACGTTAGAAATATTTGTTAATCTCTTATATCATCTTTTATTGTGTCATTCTCTTATATTTTAAATTAAAATTATTGTATTTTTTATTTATTCTCAAGAATAATTATTTAAAATTTATATTTAAACATTAAATAATTTTTGAAAAGTAAAAACAAAATTAAATAAAAAACAACTTTATATTATGTAAAAAAACGTGGACTTTATCATAATATTACTTATATATTATGTATTTTTTATTAATTAAATTCAAATTAATCAAACCTCATATCTTTTAAGATACTTTTTTTTTTAATTTGTATCTATTCTTAATCTATCAAACAACTAAACATTCAATTTTATTATTTTATTTTACCTTTTTCATCTATTTCTATTTCTCTCAACATTTTTTTTTCATCAAAACCAAACATATCATAATAAAATTTAATTGGAAAATCCGAACGTAATTAAGTAAAATTACTGGTGGTTTTAGTGAACTGAATTTTAAAATTCTTAAATTCTGTATTTATATTCATTCAATTATGCTATAGGTCGAAGATTACAATTGTGAAGTCATAACTCATTATATTTATGGACTGCAGATTGGGCCGTTAGCCCATAACCTATGCATGACAAATGTAGGCCTTCTAAGAAAACTAAACTTATATTTTAGGATTTAACTTCCTATATTTTATAGATCATTCCCTTCCATTTCTTAAGTCACCCTGTAAATATTTACATTCTGGAAAGGTCATTCCTGAAAGAAAGATATGACCTAAAAAATTTTCA